CAATCCAAAACCATACTCCAACCACTTTCTTTATCAGGTTCTCATTCTGGGCCACCACCCGCGTGCCCCAGTCATAACAAAACCAAGTGCGAGATAACTAGGGACAGTCTCTATGGCCCAGAGCCTCTTGAAAAGATTTGAACTAACAAATAGTAAACCTGTTTGCCTTGTTTCGTCCACTACTTCCAATAGAAACCGCAATAAGGCTTTTGTCCACCTTGTCCCCACTCATTCTGCTTCCTAATACTGATGCTATGTCCCTTCCACCAGCACCCCATACCCCAATATTATGACAGACTCCCTCCTCTTGGGATCTATGACTATAACCATCTGTCTTGTCAGTGGCAATTGTCTCCTGATCTGGTAGGCTTATTATACTTGGGTTGGGGTGGAACCTGTGATTTCAAACATCTGGCTAATGTATTATTTTATTGTCCAGCAGACTAGCCAGAGCTTATTCACATACAGGCAAGATTCCAAGAGCAGCAAGAGAAGAGGCCCCAGTGCACAAGTACTTTTTAAATCTCTCTTATATTATGCTTTCCATTGTTCAGCTCACTTCAGTTCAGTGGCTCAGTCATGTCCGACTCTTTGCGACCCCATGGACTGCAGCACGCCCGGCCTTCCTGTCCATCACCAACTCCCGGAGTTTACTCAAACTCATGTCCATTGAGTCAGTGATGCCATCCAACCATCTCATCCTCTGTCATCCCCTTCTCCTGCCTTCAATCTTTCCCAGCATCAGAGTCTTTTCAGATGAGTCAGTTCTTCATATCAGGTGGCCAAAGTGTTGGAGTTTTAGCTTCAGCATCAGTCCTTCCAATGAATATTCAGGACTGATTTGCCCCAGGATGGACTGCTTGAATCTCCTTGCAGTCCAAGGGACTCTCAAGAGTCTTCTCCAACACCACAGTTCAAAAGCATCAATTCTTCTGCAGTCAGCTTTGTTTATAGTCCAACTCTCACATCCATACATGACCACTGCAAAAACCATAGCCTTGACTAGAAGGACCTTTGTTGGTAAAGTAATGTCTCTGCTTTTTAATATGCTGTCTATGTTCATAACTTTTCTCCCAAGGAGTAAGTATCTTTTAATTTCATGGCTTCAGTCACCATCAGTGATTTTGGAGCCCCCAAAAATAGTCTGTCACTGTTTCCACTGTTTTCCCATCTACTTGCCATGAAGTAATAAGATCGGATGCCATGATCTTAGCTTTCTGAATGTTGAGTTTTAAACCAACTTTTCACTCTCCTCTTTGATTTTCATCAAGAGGCTCTTTAGTTCTTTTTCGTTTTCTACCATAAGGGTGGTGTCATCTGCATATGTGAGGTCACTGATATTTCCCCCAGCAATCTTGATTCCAGCTTGTGCTTCATCCAGCCTGGCATTTTGCGTGATGTACTCTATATATAAGTTAAATAGGCAGGGTGACAATACACAGCCTTGACATGCCCCTTTCCCGATTTGGAACCAGTCTGTTGTTCCATGTCCAATTCTAACTGTTGTATCTTGACCTGCATACAAATTTCTCAGGAGGCAGGTCAGGTGGTCTGGTATTCCCATCTCTTTAAGAATTGTCCACAGTTTGTTGTGATCCACACAGTCAAAGGCTTTGGCA